GCACCTCTGTAAAGGACCTGACTTCATCACTAAAACAAAAGTTATTTAGTTTTAGCTATTAATACTAATTGTATGAGCTGAAAGTTTGTCATATATAAAGAACTAATGAATATTTAAGTTATGTCTCTCACTCTTCTGCTTATGAGACGAAATTAGGCTGAATATCCTGTTTTGAATATCCCTAAGCTAATCTAAAAACCGTTCAGGACTACTAAAACTATATTGCGTGCAATGAGTTAAATAAATGCAGTTTCAAGTTCGCACAATACATGCCATACTTTTCCTTATTTTCTGCAGTATTTTGAGCCAAAAGTCAGGTTCATTGATAAATACCATGCGAACATGCAGGGCTGTTAATATATTCACAATAGAAATCTCATTCACTACGTTGATCAGACTGTGCAAAACAATTATTCCAAGTTGATGAGAATATTATTAAATCTATAACTCACCTTTTCAAAAAGTTAATTTACATTTTGCTTTTTGAAAATATCTGGATAAGCTTACTTAATTTTGTGTGACTTAATAACATAGGTTAAAATCTTTGGGAACATACTCTCATAGAATGTAAAGGCATTGCACGAGACGAAGACAGCGAATCGTTATCCAAACATGCGACTCACCGGTTGTGGCGAAGAATGGAGAGTTAAATGTACACTAGGACAACGTCTATATTTAAAAATACAAGAGATTTCAAGCAGCATAGTAAGTAGTAGAATAACATCATTGAAGTATTTTGGGTTATTTAAATAGCCCTCATACAGATCACTACAGTTGTTTACTTTAGCGCGTGAATTGAACAAAAACTATAAAATTTAAACTAAGCCATGTTATGAACTTTGGTATGGTCGCAGTCTACTTTTGATGTATAGAAGTGGGCTGACCTAGTTTGCCGATTCGGACGTGCTGTCAGGGCGTCTTAGTTGGACACATCTTGTCCGAAGTCACTATTCAAAGCGCTGGACCGTAGGCTCATTTCCAGACGCCCACGGTCCAGCTCTATGAATAATCATAACTACTAAAGCAGATGACTTCGGACAAGTTACATCCAGCTAAGTCTCCTTGACACGACGCCCGAGTTGCAAAAACGAGGTCAGCCTACTTCTATAAAACTTAGAATTATAGATTTTCTGGTTGACATGACCTATAATATATATCTAAATTGTAATTTTAGCCAGAACTAATATGAAAACAAATATTATTAGCGATGAAATTTAGTTTTACTTCATGCTATGTTTGTATACATATATTATAGAATAGATTGTATTAATCATTATCTAGCTCACTAATACGATTATTTATTCTAGTTTGGCCAACTTTGCTACCGAAAATAGATTATCATCTAGATTTACATCAGTTTGCATAGGTAAACTCTAATCATCATGATAAGATAATTTGGCATATAATTACTTAAAAATGTGAATAACAGGTTATGACAACATTTTTACAAAAACAACACTAATTGAGTTACTTCATATTTCGTAACTTGAAAACATTTAAAATTAGTTACTATCTTAGAGTAACGCTCAACATCTATGAAAATATGCCTTAAAGATCTTGATCGAGGGACCATACTTGAAAATGAGGGATAACAATGTTATATATTTTAGAATTTATTTTTATACAATCGTCGATTAGAGAACTACACTCGTCAAAACACCGTCTCTGATGATGGGGTGCTGGGATATCGCCATTCATGTAATGGGCAAATATGATCCAGCACCAGATTCTGAACATATTATAACATGAGTATGTCCTAATTATCTTACAATGAAGGGGCCATGGGCCATATTGCGGATTCACCAATGATGAAAAACATTGCTCTGATGAGTGCAGCAATACAAACAAAGAATGGTTCAATAAAATGCAAACAAGAACAAGAAATGCTTTACTTCAGATTCTGATGAAGTCGGTAACTAAATTACCTTATCAAAAATTTCTAAAGAAGTGTAAAATAATTTTAAATGGGTAATATAATGAATCCCATGGAAAATGGCCTTCCATAAGACTCTTAACTTGATTTATATGCATAATACTTATTCTTACTACTAGCTTTTAGTTCAACAACTATTAATGCATCGTTTTTCGATAATTATTGTGCCGTTTTAAAAATTCATTACTTTAACAAGAGCATATTCAGAGATTTTACCATCTGCTTCTCTAATTGTACAGCTGTGAGCTCAGATTGTTTTTGGCTCAGCTGAGCCTGCATTTGTGTTAACTCTGTCTCTCGCTTAAACCGAATGTTTCGAAGTTCTGCTAGTTCATCTCGAAGCTCCAATAGCTGGCCTGACTTTTCATCCAGTTCGCGTTGCGCAGCCTCAAGTCGAACACGCAGATCTGAAGCCATTCTTTTGTGTGCCTCCAGTTCCTCGGCTATCTCAGTCTCCAAACGTTGTCGGCTTTCCTTAAGGCTAAAGATAAGATTGTGAGGATACACAACATCAAAGAAGCTAAGTACTTGAAGATATGGCATACATGTAATATTATGTAATACAAGTAGATACCCATATTTATAAAATGGGCTAATTGGCTTTCAACTGAGACCGTCCTTAAGCACAACTATCCCGTAATAACTAAATTTATGAAAACTTTTAATCCAAGTATTAATGCCTCTTAACTTAAGAAGGAAATAACTTAGTTGATTTCAAAATAAATAGAAAGATGACTTATTTTACTTAAATTATCCAAGAAGGATAACAAAATATTGGCTAATAATTAGGAATCATTCCGCTTATTTAGTAAATAGTAGAAGTGATTGTATAACAAAGGCGGAGCAGCTTAATATGAATTAAAATATATTGCAAAATGGCAAAACCTGATATTGTACAAAGGTTAATTTACATATTACATCTGCCGTATCTTCTGATCCAGTGCTACTAAATCACCATCATCCAGGTGTGTAATACTCTGCTTTTCTAATCTCTATTTTTGGTATAGGTAAAAATTGATACGAAAATAACAAAATTAATCTTGTATTCAGTTGATAAATACGCAGCAACGGGATAATATGAAGTTATATACAACTATTTCACAATGAAACATTAACTGTGGAAACATAGGAAGGCGCACCAACTTTTCAATAGATTAAAAATATTTAATGTCATATGCCGAATGCCTAAGTGTAAAGTCAAATATGATTCTTTAAAAAATTTGTTTACTATCGAATTAAATATTGGAGCAAAATTAGCATATGAATCAAGGAACATCAAAGGCTTTGCAGGAAAATGGATACCGAAAGATCAGAATTAGTGGAACACATTTCACTGACTGGACAGGAGATCAATTGGAAGGCAACAGGAAGAAGGGCCTCATACGGTGAAAAAACAAGGAAGCGAAAGATTAGGGAGGCCATTGACATCCTTGGGGATAAAAATATAATAAACATGAGATTGAAGGAAGATAGAGTTAGCGATAACTTTGCCTATTGCCTAAGCAAACTCAAGGAAAGCAAATATACAGCA